ATAGAAAGAGGTTTAGATTTTTTCGCTTGCTCCCCCTTGACCCCCCCCCCCCCCCCCCCCCCATCTTGTTTTTCTTGTCGTCCCGGAACTTTGTTTGAATCATGGTTTGAAACATTAAACAGGAAACGAAAATCCAATTTATGGCTAAATTTAACTGACTTATGTTACAGATAACGGTTCAGATCACCACATGTGGTTTTTTAAATTAAACAACAGCAGTTCCGTGAGGAACACTATCGCACTCTATTGGCAAAATGTCGTACTTCAGATAGACAGCTATTTTATTTTGTTTGAATCGTGACAGTATAGTTTAAAAAAAACAGTATCGTAAATATATTTGTACTGGCTAAAAAGTCTTACCAGTGGTACATGGCAATGTATCTTTATCTAATCAAAACATATATAAGTGTATATAAAGTGTATATCCATATGTTGTATAGGTTCTAAGAATGATGCTTTAAAATTGTGAATTAATATATTTTATACTTTATTCAGCACTATAATGCTCACAGCTCCATTTGCAGGCTCTATACCCAACTAACAACATTAAACCCGACTATAACTTGGCGTCCGTGTAATAAAAACTACATCATTTTTTAACATATCTACTGTATTGAGATTGGGTTTAAACTTGCTTATGAGTAAAGCGACGTAGCAATTAACCCAAATAATCTCGTCGTGCAACAGCTTTAGATATTTCACTTCCTCTAAACCCGGACACGGGCCACAAACCAGACGTTCTCGGAAAACAGGACGCGCATGTCAGCAGATTAATTGCGTGTTCAAAGCACAGTTTGAGCGACTGGTAAGTAACAGATAAACAGATGAAGTGAATGCTCCCTGGATTTTGTTTTTCAAAATTTTTGAGGAGCCGACTGTTAAGTTTTACTCTGTGCAGCTAATCTATAAGCGTTGGCGAAATTTTAATAGACAAAACCTGGAGGTAAGTAATAAGGTTTATTTTAATGCACTGTATATGTTTTAATTAATAGATTAGAAATAATTATTTTGTTAAAAAATTACATTCAACTTCAATTTGGATGAGGTAGTAAAAGAATTAATTGTAATATACGTGAAGTAGATGAAGTACATGTATGTTTTGTAATATAGCTCGCTCTCTCTCTCTCTCTCTCTCTCTCTTTCTCTCTCTCTCTCTCTCTCTCTCTTACACACACACACATACACACACACACACACACACACACACACACACTTTCTCTGTTTCCTTCTAGGCCTGGGTATGCACATTTGTATGTGTTTGTGTGCGTGTGTGCGTGCGTGTGTATGCGTGCGTGCGTGCGTGCTACGTCTGTAATATTTCTATATTACACCTGATATTAATTTTCTAGCATTGGTTTCATTTTGAAAATGAATACGTTGTCCATCTTGCTACTTTTGGCTGGTTTAACTCAGCACGTGAGTATTCATACCGACCTTGATTTTTTTTTTTTTTTTTGATAATTTGGATTAAATTTAGATGTTTTCCGTAAATGTTTATAGTACAAGTTGAACGTGTTATCCGGATAAAGGCGTGGAATGTACCATTTTTTGCTTTTATAAGTTTTATGTGAATATAAAACAAACGAACAAAGAAGATCATTGTTATTTGTTCCTTATAATCTGACAGTCATTTGCGTTTTTGATATGAAATCGTTAGATTTCTATTTCATCACTGAAGGAGCAAAAGAACAGTATCTTCATATGTTTTAGGTTATATATGTCGTCAAATCTATTGCCTTAAGACAAGACTAGATTAGACTAGATTTTCTTTTTTTTTTTTTGTACATAAGTGTCTCTTTGTTTAAACTTTAAAAGATTTATGAAGTATAAATATCATAAATCAACTTATATTTGTTTGGTTATTCAAAAAGCTGTGGTTTCAATTTTCTCTCGTTTTGAATTTATAGGCGTTCGCGGATTTTAAATTGACTAAACCTGAAGGTAAAGTATAAAAATATTTTTTTGATATTCTTACATATTTTAATACACAGATTAGAAAGTATTATTCTATTGTAGAAATTATGTGCAACTTCAATTTGAATGAAGTACAGTCATCCATAACTAATCACGCTGTTTTCGGAGCTAAATAAGTCAATTTAACTGCTACGTAACTTATGAATAAAGTAATTTATTTACAACTTCAATCTTGTGGTTGCAATTTTTCAAATAAAAGTATGATAAAATCATTATTATGATTTGTCTTATTTGACGTCACAGAAACAATTCAGACATGGCATGTCGCAGTTTCAACCCTTTATTTTCAGAACCCGATAAAACAGTCGTTTTCATAGGAACACGAGCTGTCCATGACGGCCGACACATAATAAAATACACCCAAGGCAGGCAGGTGCGGCCGGGGACATGGTCCCAAGTGAGAAAGGACAACGTCCAGGAAGGCGGCACCTCTTTCTTCAAAGCCTACAGGCAGCCATACCCTTCAGACTCCTATTTAGAAGGTACAGAGCTAAAAAAAGTGGGTGGGTTTGAGAAGCGTATCAATGTGTGTCGAGGCCACGACTACTTCCAAGGCTCACGCACGTGGATTCTGACGCCAAAATCATGTTCAGAATACGGGCAGGATAGGTGGGTGGAGGAGTTTTATTTTTACGTCGCCTCAGAAAGGAAACCAGGGACCGCTCTTCACCGCTACGGTGTCTGTCAGACCAAAAATGGAGGAATATACGGAAGAATTGTAGCACGGGGATCTACTGTGAGCATCTGTCACGGTCCTGACGTCGTTAAAGAGGAGGGCAACTTCTACACCTACCCAGGAAGTATGTAACCGTTTCTTTTAGCTGTGCCTCCTACCATTAAAAGATTTCATTTAATATTGCGTTTTTTTAGAATACATTTCCCTTTAAATTGATTTAGACTGATTTTTGTATTGTACAAAAATTATTATTGGAATGGCTAGCATTTTTCTGCGATTTCTACATTTGAAGATCATGTAAAAGAAAAAATTCGGCTCTAAAATCGGCGAAAATGATTTTGCACGTAGTGTATATACATGTATTTCGTAACAGAATCATCTCATGGTTAAAGGGTGAAAAAATCTTTCCAGTCCTGTGTAGAGGTTTTGAATAATTAATGAATCATTTTGAAAAACAAAGAATAGCTAGTGTTTTGACAACCAAAATCATTCAAATGGCATTAAGTATAATACTTGTTAAAATTTTGTAGGGCTGTTCTGTCCACTTCTTGACGCGCCCTCTAACGGCTTTCAGACCAGTTCCGAGGTCAGAGATTACGGCGTGGGCGCGGTTACGTTTGCGTGCAACATTGGCCATCAGTTGTTGGGGAACTCTGTAATACAGTGTGAAGATAATGGGAACTGGGCAGGGCAAATGCCCACTTGCAAAGGTACAACCAGAGGCTTTTATTATGTCCTTATTGTCATGTTATTGTTTACGTCCAATCAAATACAGTAAAAAAATAACGATACAATGCAATTATAATCATATTATTGTTAGTTTCTCAATTGGCAAAATGTGTACCTGTCCAAAATGATATTCACCATAATCACACAGTATGTGCTCTTGCGTCTTATGAAAGAGCTTTTTGTCTTTCACGAAAGGCCAATCAAAGGGAAAAAACGTACTTATAAAGGTTGTATTCTAATGCAATATGCTGCGCGTGAATGGAACAATTATTTTGTGTATATTATTATCATGAATCTAATATTTATAGCTAAGAACTATTTTTAAAACTCAAACCACACACATAAACATATTTCCAGCAATCTCCTGTGGTCGTCCCAGCTCACCCAACCATGGTTCCTTTACGGGAGATGATTTCACATATCGCAAAGTTGTGCGATACAGCTGTGATGAGGGTTACCAATTGACCACCTCTTCTCCAAAAACAAGACAGTGCTTGGATACAGGGAGCTGGAGTGAGGGAGAGCCGATATGTGAACGTAAGTTTGTCTGCCTGTCTGTCTGTCATTGGTCTCCCACTCTCTTTTGTATTTTCTTCCCTTTTCTAAATTGCAACGAATGATTAGTGCGCATTCTTTTTTTCCTTTTTTTATTTGCCCTTTTTTAGTTACTGGTACATGTATGTGAACCTGTTCACACTGAAAGGTGATCTTTGTATCAAAACTTAGATAGGTAACAGTGACATGTAGGCCCTATACATGTTTTTGATAAAAGTTTGTCAGTTAAGTTTCTCTTCATCTCTTCTTTTTATATAACTCTTACTTTAACCCTGATTACCATGTTTTATCTAGGTATTGAATGTAATGTTCCAAATGTCCAAAATGGCAACGTTGAAGGCGGGACTAGGTTCTTCTATGGCGACACCATTTCATTCGTTTGTTTCCCGAGATATACTCTAAAGGGTGCCGCCAGTGCTACGTGTACCAAGGATGCCACTTTCAGTGATCCTATTCCAACTTGTGAAAGTAAGTGGGTTACTGTATTTAATAGAAATATATATTGAAGAAGGTGATCTAAGACTCGGTAGTGACCAATGGCACTTGGAAAGGATTCTAGTCTATGAAAGGGGCTTTTCTCTAGAGTGCACGTGGACTACAACAATACAGACGTTGTTTTGTTCTCTTTAATATGATAACGTTAATGAACATAAGTTTTTGCAGGGAAACGATGCCCCAACCTATCGCATCCCACAAACGGAATCATGACTAGTTCCCGTGATTTCGTGACCGAATCCGAGGTGATTTTCGTATGCCACGAGGGTTACCGTCTGAATGGGGAGGAAGTCGTGAAATGTGAAGAGAAAGGTGAAACAGGTGTATGGTCTGCACCCGCACCGACATGTGGACGTAAGTATTATTGGTTTCTACAACTTACAACTTATTCAGATTCTGCAAGATAAAATATATGGAATGCATTTGATTGCGCCAGTAATTAAGGCATCCAAAGATTTAAAAACATGATTTGCAAACCAATTGTACGTGTGGCTTTTATTTATCACATTTGATAATTCTGTTCAAGAGGAGCGACCTCCTCCCTACATGTACCGTACCAGAAGAGGAAAAAGATATAAAGAATAAGAATCAGTAGATTGAATGAAGACGCCATTGCAATTAGTTATCATTGCAATGTTATTTTGCCTATCCTTTTTACAGAGATAACCTGCCCTTCCCCAGTGGATCCTGCACATGGAAGTGTACTGGGGACGGATTTCACATATAACAGTGCTGTCAGCTTTATGTGTGACCCTGGCTTTCAAATCAACGGAACCGACCGCCTTGTCTGTCAGAAAGATGGGTGGGACTCCGAACCCCCCACTTGCGAAGGTATGTGTTACTGTACGACAATATCGGATATGACACTGTACTGCAGAGAGAGAGAGAGAGAGAGAGAGAGAGAGAGAGAGAGGAAATATTCCATTCTTCTTATTAGGAATTCTGAAGGTAATTTGCCAATGAAAAATATGACAATTGATATAAATGAATAAATCTTCAAGATCAATTTTAGTTGTACATGTTCAATTTTTTCTTTACATTCATCAACCCTCTGTTTCTGTGTCACGTTCAATAATGTACATCCAGCATTATCAATTTTTTGTCTTTGACTTGCAGCCATCTCTTGCCGAACCCTACCAGTCCCTGCTAACGGCAATGTCATGTTCACCACCAGAACTTATGGTGGCAACGCCCAGTTCAGCTGTAATGCCGGATACAGACTTGATGGAAAAAGCAATCTATTTTGTTTAGAAACAGGAGAATGGAACGCTCATCCCCCTCGATGCGAACGTAAGAGTTGTGCTCATGCTTTGATTTCAAACAGAACATATACAAATAACAGAGGCTCTTTTATATGCTTTATTTGGTGAATAACTTGGGTTTCTTGGTACTCATAGATTTAACATATCTGTGAGATATTATAACCTCAATAGTTGATTTAATGTTTAAAAATGGAAAACCTGTATGAATGCTCTAATACCCCTTCCTTGTTTTAGAATACGAAATGCCTCGCACCTTCAGTTTCAGAAAACCAACGAAGACATGATTTGTGCCGATAAACATCTGTACAACGTTTGTACACTGAAACTTTCGTTGAAGTTTTGGACTTTACTCTATCTATGGTTCCCTTACAGCAAAAAAATGTCCGCCTCTCCATCCACTGGCTCACGGCTCCAGAGATGGCGACTCATTAAGTTACCCCAGCACTATAAACTTCACCTGTTTTCCTGGATACGAACTTGTTGGCTCAGCCAACACAAGCTGTGGAGAAGACGGCACCTGGAGTAACCCTGTCCCTACGTGCCGTGCCTGCGCCATCGGGTTCTATAAAGATTCATTAGGGCCTGGGCAGTGTACACAGTGCCCGGAACATTCCTCTACAGCTTCTACGGCAAGCGCTAACAAGGAGCACTGTCAGTGCGTATCCGGAGCTACGCGTGTCGAGTCCGGTGATTGTAAAGGTGACTTCTATATTTTCATATAAATATGCGGTGACTATTTACTCAAAATTAACGTTAGATTCAAAGCCTACACTAAAGAGTGCATTCGGGTAAATAGATACAAATAAATTGATAATATTTGTTCTAAACCTAAACTGGTAGTCCTGTTGTCATATATAATTCAGAAATAACTGGGTCATATTTTAAATGTACTTTCTATTTTTAAAATGAAGCGCCTTTTAAACTTTCAGTCATAACATGTGAACCACTCACTGCCCCGGTCAATGGCAGCGGTCGATGTCCAGGGACAGGTTATAATGACCAGTGCGTATTCAACTGTGATGCTGGGTTTATCCGCCAGGGTTCACACAGTCGCAAATGCACTGCCGATGGCTGGACGGGAAACCCAACTACTTGCACAGGTAAGTTTCTTTACATTTCTCTGGTCCACCCTCTTGTTTTCATTGGTTGTTAATTTTCATATGTAAGTTTAAAGAAAAAAAAAACGCTTAAATTAACAATGTGCTTTTTTTCTTTAGACATCCTTAATTAATAGGAAGTTGAATGAACTAATTGATGGCAAATATATTTCCTGCTTGAAAGTGTACAACAGTTATATGATGACTTCCAGTTATATACAATAATATAAGCTATGATTTCAATGACACTCGTTTCATTTCAACCTTTGTTGTAATGCTGTCTTCCAGCCTGCCCAATGAACACGTATAAAGAATTCGAAGGTATTAACACGTGTACGCCTTGTCCACTTAACACACACACCAATGGTCTGTTGGGAACATCGCTCCAGTCCTGTGTGTGTAAACCTGGTTACCGTCGAGACAGTTTCACTTGTGTAGGTAAGTAAATGTTCCTTTGTTATATTTGTTTTTTTTCCTTTCGGATTAGATCTTAGGCCACATAATCTGAGAGCACATAGTGAATTATCTGTTATCTATAGATTACATATAAACCCACTCGATGTTTACCAAAGTGTATTTGAATATAAAAATGAAAGAGCTCACATTAATAAAGAAAGAACCATTTGACTATTATAGAGGGATTAAAAAGATCCACCTTGTGTTATACACTCCTCTGCACTCTTCTTCTCGTCGCAGTTTATCTTAATGGGAACACTTTTTTTATTGTAGACATAGACGAATGTGCTGTCAACAATGGTAATTGTGACCAGAGATGTGAAAACTTGCCCGGCAGACACATGTGTAGCTGTACCATTCCCGGATACGTGTTGGATAACGACGGCAAAACATGTACACGTAAGTAGACCCAGTTTTTCATTGCCTTTACGAAACAGGTTTTCTCTTGATATTCTGCGAATCATGCAGTTTATATCTCAAGTTTAACATTTTTCATTTTTGTTCTAGTTAACAAAACGTGCCAGTCATTGACGGATGATATGCCTGCAAACGGCTTCCTTGAGTGCAAGCACTCGGACCGAGAGAATTCCGACATTTGCCACGTGAAATGCAACCGGGGTTATTTCTTCGTGTCCGGGATCAACAATTACGTGACTTGTGGCACAGACACCGACTTTATCTGGTCTCACCGTGTCATTAACAACACCGCTAGGATACCCCCTTGCACTCGTAAGGAAATTTAATTTTGAGCTTGCATTTTTAACCAAGGTCATTTTCATTTGCGCAAAAGTCATTTCTGTTAGATTTGAAGATTGCGTTTGTCCTTTTATGTTTTAAAATTTTGTTTTTTTTTTACATCGTAGATAATTTTATCAATTATTTTGTGTCCATTGATGAATTATCCGTGCTAAGGGTTTGTTCAATTTCCTCTATAAAATAACGGTATACCTACATTCATGGCTCCAAGGATTGGCATTCATAAGTTGAACTGCTGTTTTACAGGGAGATGGTCAGAACGCTGTCATAGCACAAATGCTGCAGTTTTAACTTACAGAATGGAAAATAACAAAATAACAATGTCCATGACATTAAAATTGCAACATTTGTTTGCAGGTGAGTTTTTCGTTGATACCAAGCTTCCAGTGACCGTAACTTTCAAAACCAAAGACAACTGCAACAATATCGAGTTGCATCTTACCGCTCAGCAGCTTCAGCAAAAAATACAGGAAAAAGTCAACAACCTCAACATTTGCAGAAAATCGTGTGAGGTCCAAGACGTCAGTACAAGATGCGACCAAAGCCAAGGCAACAGCGAGGTGGTTGTGACCGTCAACTTTGGCGTGCTTATCAAGAACCCAGATGAGAACGTTCCGTTGGACTGCGACACGCCGTGTAAACGGCTTAATATGCGACAGATGTTAAAAGAAACATTCCAGTTGAAGCAAGCTCTCGAAGGATTGTTTAAAACACAGACCACGTCGATTGATTATGCAGAGGCCCGGCCCTCCCTTGATAGCCAAGGTTTCAGCTACCAGAAACCACAGATACTGTGTGACCCGGGGAAGGTGTTGACATCAAACAGACTATGTGGTGAGTTTTCATGTATTTTTAGGTGGGGGTATACTGCAGGCCTAAAATCCACGTGGAAAAGAGAGAGAGAGAGAAGGGAGAGAAACTACCAAACTCCTCCCCTTATTCCAACCAATTCATATTCTCTTTAACATACATTTATACCTGGTCTTTTATTTCATGCTTGTTTGTATGTACATGTAGCATTCTTTTTAATTTGTGGTACTCGTTTGATGGGCATTCTTGCTTGTTATTTCGCCTCTACGTATGTGCTTCCCAATACACTTGCATATTCTTCCGATTAAGAGATAAGGAGAAACTGCCAAACACATGTACATTGTAATAGTTTAGTTACCAGTTTGTACTTAATGTTAATATTTTTTTCTTCACAGTGCCCTGTTCCGCTGGATATTATCTACCGGATCGAGAGCTAAGGACCTGCCTCCCATGCCCTGTTGGGACCTACCAGACCCTGGAAGGGCAGACATCTTGCAACCCTTGTTTGGAAGACACGACCACGGCCGGGGAAGGCTCCTCGCACCCGGTTATGTGCAACGTAGTCGTACGGAAAATATTTCGCAAGAAATAGTACCACTTTGTGACATTGAAATTGATGTAGCGCGTATGCGCACTTCTGACATGTATTGCATTTTTTCGGTTTGCGCTTCTGATCAAAATTATGATTTGATTATGTGAACATGACACTTGATACGATATCCTGTCTTGAATCACAGTCATTCTCTGGTTTAAAATAGACAACCCGGAAAATGCTATAAATAAATACTTCATCTGAGATGTCAATCGTGAATAACAGTAACGGGTCTTTGTTTTTTTTTCTAAATTAAAAGGGTTATTGTTCGATCAATAGAGCAATTGCTTCTGGATTCAGTGAAGAAAGGTTTTTTGCATGCAGTGGCCACGAGAAGACGTCCGCGATGCAAATGCCCCACGCAACATGCATTCAACGTATTCCCTTCACATCAAGATTTTAGATGTAAAATTGAGATTTTTTAAATACTGTTTATCGATTACTTTTTTGTTTTCAGCGAAAATTGGCATATTTTCGACTTTTAATAAATTAGCACAATGTTCCATTGTTTTGGTATTCAGAGCTTAATAAATGTATTATTATAAAGTTTCTTGTCTAGTTCTGTCGTGTATTGTTTCACAGCACTGATTTTAAGCAATCAAACTCCGTTTTTGTTCCGATGGACTTTCCATAGCTCCATTAAACTACATAATCCTGATCCGAAATTTTTGTATCTTATTTTTTTTCATATAGCCTTTGCATATGTACCGTATGTCATGTAACATTCTTTTAATTTTCACATTTTTTATAAAAGGTAATGCACTAATCGTGCATCGGCGTAAGATATGTGATAACTTGTTTTAAAGACCTAAAACGTAAGGGTAGGAATTTCTGCAGCGGTTAAGCGAAGACGTCAGGAAATTTTGTTAATTGTATCTTTTGCAATCGGTGACAAAAAATCCTGCCCTGCCCTGCCCTGCCCTCCACCCCTCCCGAGTGAATTCTGAAAAAATATTGCTCAGATTCTCCCACAAATTGCCAAAATAGAGATTGATTTTTCCTCTCTTTAAGAACCTAAAGGTTAACGAAAAGTAACGCGGAACTTCCCTCTTTTCCTTGCTCACTTACTCTTTTAGAACATATGCAGTGCACGTCATTTAAATCCACGACCTTGGCCCCACATCTCTTGAAATGATATAAGTAAATCATGACATGTGTTATTGGTTTTTTCTTTAATTTGAGAAAGTTTATCTTTTTGAGGTTTAGTATGTGCATATAAGCAAAGAATCAATCTGGGGAAACTAGAAATGACAATTTCTACATTAAGGACATCGCGGCGATGATGATAGAAAGCGGTCATAGCAAAACTACTGTATATCCTGCTAATTCCCACATGCCGAATATTTAACCTACAAGATAGGCAACTGAGACACCTTGTCTATTTAATCTATACCACATTTCTTGGAAAAGTGAAGATTTGACATATTAACTTCAGTCAATCTTCGTTAATCATTGGCTGCTCTGGTCTTGAAAAAACTTATCGCCCTCTTCACCCTTTGTGGTATCTAGTTTTTATTGGGGAAAAATAAGGAAATATAGCAAATCATATCTGCCATTTTGTGCTGCGCTTTAACTACCGGAAAAGACATCAATGAACGACTGAACTTGAGTGAACAAGCAACATGAGAGCTCCGGGTAGTTTTACTGCGTCATCATGCATCGCATTGATAGTGTATTTACAGTGTGTTCATTTAGCAAGGTATTACTAGTTATAAATTTCTCTCTCTCTCTTTCTCTCTCTCTCTCTCTACTTACATTTAGATGACCTTAGATCTTTTCTCGCACCATGTACCGTGCACCCCCCCTTGGTCTGGTCTTCCACTGTCTTTCTCTAAACGTCATTTATTAACAAAATTGTGAAAACCACTTGTTAAATGTAATACAAACAACATATTATTTATAACATACCATTTGACGTTATAATGATAGTACATGAACATGCTTGCATGTACGGCTGCATGTATATATCACGTGCTCATACATCTTTGGCGCAAAAGAACGTTTTCATGTACATAAACAATTACCAAGGGGGTGTATTTTTGTAGATTGAGTGTATAATCCCGAATCTGAAGTGCGAAATGATTTTCAAATATTCAGAAAGTGGTTAAACAAGTGGTTAAGTATCAAAGTTTCTGCTCGTTTCTGTATGATGCTAGTACTGGCGACTATGTTAGCTTTATTTTGGGCAGTGCACTTTCAGACCCGGATCTTTCAAACAGGATTTCCGCGACAGATGCCTCCTAATGCATTGCTGAAAGTCAGATGATAGGAAAACAGTTGTTCCCACCTTTCTTCGCTAGCGGTCTATTTTTGGAAACCCACGTAGGATTCAAACCCGGACTTAGTAATAAAACTCCATAAAACAAAGTTGCTTTCAATCATCTAAAAACAGTCATTCAAATGATTATCCGTGCACTAGAATATGATGTGCATTATTCTGAAAGGAAAATGCACTTCACTTTACCAAATGTTACATGTAAGCACAGAAGTTGTCCCAAAACAAGAGCTTTATACTTTTTATACAAGATAATACGTTTTCACTTCACTAATATTCCAAGTGAAATATGTTTCTGTTTCCATTTTTTAAATTTACATTGTCACTATATTTAGGTCTTTGCCGTTTTGAACGTAACTAAAGATGTTAGTATTTTACTTCTTTAAACTTTACCATCAACATCCATTTCCAAGAACTCATTTCGAGAGAATTAACTTTGTTCATAGTAAGATAAACAGAGTGCCCTCTATCGACTCAAACTAATACTATGATTTCAGATTAATAAGGGTTTTATTCTACATGTATTTCAACGAAACTTACACATCTTAATTTGTGTACTCTAATTAGTTTCCCCGATTCTTATGCAAGCATGTTTTTGTATATTTATGTGAACTAAGTTACATTGCTTCCAGCCTGCTTTTCATGCCAAATATGTATTTTTGTGAAATCGTTGGATCGTGTGGTTATTTTCTTTTTCAGCCTTTTACCCTCCTTCAAACAAACTGCACGAATCTAAAAGTGTTTACTAATCCTCTTGAACCATCACCATAGCCACCTTAAAAAAGGGGTTTAAATCGTGCATCACTTCGGGGCTTGTCAGTCAGTGAGTTCTGATAAACCAGAAATGATCCCACTGTAATTTGGCAACTTAAGGTCCGGTTTCTTTTATCAGAAACACACGGCGATGCACGCGCTAAGTGCAGCTTTTTACCTATCGTATTTCACGTATCTATTTCCAAGAAACATGATAACGCCAGCAGACGGTTGAGCAGAGGCATTCATAGGCCTATTTACTTTTACCTAGTTACAGCAGTAAACCAGCGCCATTTAAAGAAACTTGCGTTTTATTTAAACTCCTGATGTGAAAAACCATTTAAATATGTTTCAGTAAAACAAGCGGATACACCGGCCCTTTCCATAAGTGGAGAAAAGACACTATGAGGCACTAAATCTTTCAACAGTCTTACAGGCAGGGGGCTTGTGGACAGCCTTTATTCTGCACCCCAACTCTTCTTGATATTCATCCCTACATCTCTCATTGGAGTAAAAAAAAATGTGTAGATTCATCTGGTATCAGGAAATTGTCTCGAAATTAAAAATTTACCTTTTGTTCATTTAAACTTGTGCAGATTTCTTGGTACAGTAATGACACGTTGTTTATTTAACGTGATCTGCTTTTCATCCAATAATTTGACATACAATCATACGGTCGTAGGTGTATCTACGTTGTTATTTCCAACCCGGACCTGTTCAAAAGTTATCAACCTAATAGATAAATGCCTATTTTATTAAGCCGAATAAACAAAAATCTTGTGTTTAATTTCAAAACAATTTCCTGATAGAAATATAATCCCTTATCAAATAAAATTGTGCTGTTTCAAAATCTCCAAGCGCTCTCTATCGGCAGGATTTATAATTTGTCATGAACTGATCATAAAAGAAAGTCTTTTTATATATTTTTAATAACACTTGGTAAAATGTTTTATACATACTTAGATATCATGTACATTAATCTATCCAGCCAACTATGTGAGCCTTCTTCTAAAATAATTAACTTCATAAAGTTATTCACATAAGCACAGAAGGGGTGGAAAGGCCATGTGCAGCTTAGGCGGTCTCAAAGCACAGAATATTAGTTACATGTACCAGATTTGGCCATCATTCCTTTCCAAAAGCGAAAAACAGACACCGTAGGAGACCCCTTGAAACCTACTACATTTTATCAATACCCCGGGTAAGGGGGAGGAGGTGCGCCCTTACCTGCCGACTCCTCACTCTTCTTGATATTTCAACTCTATGTCTGTCATTGAAGTAAAAATGTGCAAATTCATTTGATATCAGGAAATTGTTTCGAAATTGAATCAACTGAGTTTTGTTTCTTTTAATTCAAGCTGATATCTTGGTACAGTAACAACACGTTTCTTGTTTAACGTGTTCTGCATTTCATCTTGCAATTGGACACATAATCATGCGGTCGTAGGTGTATTTCATTTGTTCTTTCCAACCCGGACCTTTTCATAGATTTTTAACAAAATAAATGGATATCCCTTTATTATCGCCACATAAACAAAATCAGGTGATTTAATTTAGAAACAAATTTCCTGATATCAAATGTAATGCCTTGTCAAATAAATCTATATTGTGTTTCAGAAGCTGCAAGCGCTCTCTATCGGCATGGTTTATAATCATACACTGTACGTAGCCAACTGAACTGACTTTAAAAAGGGAAAACTTTTTTCTTTCAACAACGGTGTCTTAATCTTAATATATATATATGGTTTGCGGCTTCTTACTTAAAATTTTTCTGGCGTGTTAAATGGGGACACAGATAAGAGCTTTTGTATTGCGACCATTTGCATGTGCAAAAACTTATCATGAAAGACCAGCAACTGAATCAGACACGAGCAGCCAACAAAATAAAGACAAAGACAATGACCATTGTCAGTTTGCAGTTATTTCTCTCTCGTTTTCTGTTCATTATCCTGCCTCTATCACTCTTCCTCCGTCCCCAAGACCTCTTTTCAACGACTAAATTGAAAAACTGAACCAGGTTAGATAACCAGAAGCGTCCTCCTCCTTGAAGAAATTCATCAATCTGGTGACAAGCGAAAAGTATTTTGTTGATTTATCATAATACAGAAAATTATGCAGGGGCGGATCCAGGATTATTTGAAGGGGGGTCCAGAACGACAGGCCTCAGATGCGAAACTGGCCATCGCCCCCTTGGCGTGGGGTTCGGGGCCTGCTCAAGGTTTTTGGTGTTTTAGAGGGCAAGTGGTGCCCTTTGGTACGGTTTAGAACTATGATTCAGCTAGTCAAAATTCTAATTTCAAGATGGAAATATTGGTGTGATATATTTTTCAGAAACCGAAGGGGGGAGGGGGGAGGGGTCAGGACCCCCTGACCCCCCTCTAAATCCGCCACTGATTATGAATACTTTCTTTGCCAAATTATTGACTGACTCAAAAGCGACCTCTATCGGTTAAAACTTATACTAATGTACATGTTTAGATTTATCAATGCTCTGTCTCTTTCGCTCTCTCTCTCTCTCATTAGAATTGGAGGCATAAAGATTATGATAAATAAATGGCATCGTATCTATTACCAATATTCATCAACATCCTTATTTCAGTTCACATCGACATAAACGCGGTATATTTGGCGGCGTGTTCGATTTCACTGATTTTGTGGGACAAAAAGATGCACAGAACCGGGCCAATGAAAAGATGAGGGCTCTAGACGAGGAGCATCGTCGCTACATGACCACGTTTTGTGCTCAGAGGTGTTGGGATACCTGGAGTGCTTGGGGACTGTGTAGTGACAAGTGTCATAGCGGATCCCGCTCCCGAACACGTGGCGTAAAGCAGCTTGGATCGAGTGGTTACCCTAACACCTGTCGAGGTTTCCCCTGTCCAGGTGAGTTATGTGAATTCTCCGATGAACTTCGTGATATTCTCTCTCCTATAAAGTACATGTTATTGTGATCCCATATTTATTTGTAATCAGACGTATTATATATTTATTCGTTTACATTCTCATGTAAGTAGATCGTGTTACAGAATTATTATCTTTGGGCCCATAAACTCTTTATTGTAATGAAAAAAAAAAAATGGTGAGCTAAAAAAAAAATTAAGAATAATACAAGGCTTTAATTCTTTTATTGTCTATCGATGTCCAATTAATCATTCTGGCCACTACCTTTTGTCATTAAATAACAAGTACCTGTTGAGTAAATCAAATGTAATGTTTCTGAATAGCTTAAATAAGTATGTAAGTATTAGATCAAGTCTTTCAAAAAGACAAAAGCATTCATATAATGCGTTAGTAGATAGTACAGCAAAATCTTATGCGTTCCCAACTGAAGCAATTAATGAGACACAATCACAAATATGCAAAAGTGTGAATTTGATTTCCGTTGCCGTTTCAGGTGACCGAATTCAGCATCAGCGATGTCGCATCCAATGTGTTAATGGCGGGACGAGCTTAACAGACATCTGTTCCTGCCTACCTGGATTCCTCGGAGATTGTTGTGAGAACGGTAAATGGACGACGGCAATGAATAAGATCTGTTGAGGATAGATCAGATAGGGCATTTGAAGATGTACCTGTACTTTCAAATCAAATCACACAAAAACAACTTTGGAAATAGTGTTTTGGAAGAATGGAAAGGGGAAAGTTGATATTAGGTAGAAAGGGGTAAAGAATTCAAACATGCCATTGAAATTAATTTCATTTGTCCAATGTGCGTTTGAATAAATAAAAAACACAGAATGGGCAACATGAGAGTAAATCTGGAAATAAGTGTTAATAACTCATTTTTTTTTTCAGATATTACTTGTCCCCGAATTTTAAAGCCTACTCATGGCGATTTAGGCGGTGTATTGAACTGGCCTGCCCCCTACGACAGTGTTGTTACTTTCTCTTGCTTGTCGGGCTTTGCACTGGTAGGCGGTCCAGAGCATAGGAGATGTTTAATAGACGGGACTTGGTCTGGCAGTTCGAACCCAAAATGTGAAAGTAAGTGAAATATGCTCTAACAAAAAATCGTTTTGATTTTTGTTTACCGAACGGTGGCAATTATAAGAAAATGTTATAAAGCTGCAAAAGCAACTGAAAACCCAGGGCTGATATACTGAAAAAGAATTCAAAATTGAAAATAGTTTCATTGGATCTTAGTTTTGATAGTCAGAAAGGTTTCATTTATGATAGATCCTGAAAATGAAACCTTTCAGACTAAGAATTCAAATTGTTTTAATATTGTTTTTTCACTATGCAATTTAATTGTTGTTCAATGTTCAATGCATTTTTCAGAAATCACCTGTACGGATTTGCAGTCACCGAAAAACGGGTTTATATTGAATGCAAAGCCTGGTTACGAAGTTGGAGACAACATTGGATTTAAATGCCTAAATGGGTTTGAATTACGAGGAGCAAATACGCTTACCTGTATGGCGCGATCTGGCAGTTTTGGGAATTGGAGCACTGAAGCACCTACATGCATTAGTGAGTGATCTAGATTTGAAATCTTATTTTCCAGATTCATAACATTAAATTAATCCTTATATGTAAAGTTGTGATAAAATGGGAGATGACCATGACGAGAAGCAGAAAATAAATTGAAGGAACAGGTATTACCATAAGCAGACAGCCGGGGATAAGGTTTGTCTAAGCATAGTTAGGCATAGTGAATGCCTTAGTCGGCGGAAAAACAGCTCAAATATGTTGTAGTTCAAATATGATGTTGTCTTAGACCAATACTGTGGTAATATCGCGTTTTGAGCATGGAATAACCCAAAGCTTTTGTCAGTTACAAAAATAAATGGAGCTACAGAGCAGTATTATAAGGTAAATTCACTTTTTTATGCCCAAATTCTTCCTGAAGATGTACCCCCTCGTTGGTTTGCTGAAAATGCTGTTATATGATATTTTTCAGAACGTTGGTGTGGTCATCCTGGTTCGCTAGGCCTTGGACAAGTCCACGGAGAAGACTACTTTTACGAAGATCAGGTCACTTTTACATGTAACCCTGGATACAAGTTGGTTGGGCCGAGACGACGGAGATGTCTTGCCTCGGGAGAGTGGAGCTCTTCGCATCCTTCGTGTCTTCGTGAGTTGATTCGTGTGGCATTGAAGTGAGATTCAAAGTGTCTTTTCAATGAATAGAGATAAGTTATAGTTACATGTACACTAATGTGATTGTCACGGAACTGCTCCACCAAGAAACACTGATTTTTCACTCTGCAAATCCTCGCGCACCTAACTCACCAAAGACAACGAGCAGCGATAACTCCAGATGTACATGTAGGCCTACATCGAGGTTAAGTGTCCTTAGAGAGTTAAACTTAGTTTTTTTTCATTTTGTTTATCTAGAAATCAAGTGTCCACAACTTATCGCCCCAAATCACGGTCAGATGATGGTGAAGGAAGTTGAACCCCGGACACAAGTGACGTTTTCATGTGACACTGGATTTACACTGTTAGGGAACTCATCACTTGTGTGCTTGGAGGACGAAAACTGGAACGGAACTGTTCCTGTCTGCCAGGGTACAATTAAGTTTTGATACAAGTTATGTCTATTGATGTGTTGATACCCAATTTTATAATGAAGGCAAAACTTCGAATTGGGCCCAAGTACGAAACGATGCATGAATAATACGATACACTAAAAAATTAATAATGAATATGACTCTTAAAACGATATTTAAGTTTGAAAAGATAAACATTATAACACGAGTGAAGCATTGGCAAAAATTGTGAAAAATAATCAAGTTTTAAAAAGGGAATTGTTGACTGAAAAGACATTTGATTCAGTCCTATCTATTCGACCTCTTTAAAAACTTCTGAAGAGATAACATTATTTGAAATACCAATTTTCTGCCATTAAATACTTTTAAACCAACTTGGTAGACTAGTATATAATGAAAGTCACTTGGCAACCTTTTGCGTTTTTTTTTAGAATAAAACCAGCGTTGATAGTGAAAATTAAGCTAGAACTGATCATCGAAAATGAATATTTTGATTACAGCAATTGAATGTCCTGACCCTGGTATACCTAACCACGGGTCAAGGGACGATGATGGACATCAGTTTGGCAGAAGTGCTTTCTTCCTCTGCCATGAGGGTTATGTATTGCAAGGTGTTCCCAAAATCACTTGTCTGGCCAACGGTACCTGGGACTCGGAGGCCCCTTCTTGCCAGGGTATATAAGTATATGTATATAGTCTTATTCTGATAACTTACTAGTATATGGCTCAAGAGTTAAATGTCATAATATAATTACCATACATTGCAATATAATTGGCAATTCCAAAATAATATTTTTATCGGTTGATACCTCTCAAACTAAATCCAGAAATAATTTAATGGTCTTTTATTGATGATTATGATTTGAGATCAATTTCTGTTGGCTGCTAACATAAAAACGCCCTCGAAACCGAATGGCAAAGCTTCACTATTAGTTAGTTATGGTAATAAAAAAATATCTATGTAACATCAAATTTTTACAGCTTGTCCAAAGGATTTCTACAAGGTTGGCCGAAGTGATGGTGGTCAGTGCAGCCCATGTCCAGAAAACTCTCACACCCTCCTGGCCGCAGCTTCGACTAAAGAGATGTGTCTCTGTGATAGGGGATATTCTGGACCACTTGGTGGGCCTTGTGAAGGTGAGAGGCAACTGATAAATCAACAATTTACAGTCAGACTTCATCATCATCTGACCAAATACCACACTAGAGGGGGTGATAGGTTGGCAAACCTATCACAACCTCATTCCCGATGAAGTCTGACTGCAAGCAGACGAAATATTGGCTGGTAAGACCAGACAAATATAAGTGGCTATAGACAAAAGAATCTTCACAAGTCTACATATTTGATAGAATTTAACAGGTTAATCTTCCTTCTACATCGACATTCCACGAAAAGATGACTTTACCAGTTTCTTTGCCCTTCCAGAGATCACCTGTCCCGTATCAGACCCTCCAAAGAACGGCCGCATTGTATCCTGCAGCAACCGGTTCGATGGAGTGTGCGTATATGAGTGTGATGAGGGTTACTATCTGGCTAGAGGGAGCAGCCAACGGGCGTGCGCAGAGTCTGGTGAATGGGACGGATTCCCGCCGCAATGCCGTGGTGAGTAATACAAAAATCATGACCTATTTTGAATGTAAGATCTAGAAAAAAGCTCTTCAGATTGAATTAATATTGAAACTTTAACAACTGGGTCCGTGCTGATTACCTCCGACAATTTGTTGGCAATGTTGGTTGTCGGCAATGTTAAGCAGAATTAACAGCATTATTTAATATTTGAAAAATATTTGGAATGTACATTTTTGATTTAGTTTATGTAACAACTTACGTGCTATAGGGCCTACATTCCAGCATGCCCCATAAATACATACAAAGCTGATGTAAACAGTTGTTTACCCTGTCCTCTGAACTCGAGAACTCTAAAAGAGGGCAGCAGTAGGACTGAGTGCGTCTGCAGTGAGGGCTTCCATGGGCCCCCGGGAGGACCCTGTGTTGGTAAGAAATTGTGTGTTATGTTTTGATTGTGAAAGGAATAAAGAACTTATTTCCTTTTTATGATTGAAGAGTAATACATTTAAACTATTTATATGTGTGCTATTATAAAAATCGTTTTATGTAATTATTAAGTCAACAACTAAGTGATAGCCGAGCGTGATTCATAGGGATGAATTGTGATAGATCACCACAAACAACTCCCTTAAATATTCTACATTGTCATTAAATCTCTGCTGCTAAAATCCAATCCCTATCGTTGCAGATGTCAATGAGTGTGACAGTAATAATGGCGAAGGTCCATGTGAACAAGCTTGTGAAAACATTGAAGGTGGCTACATGTGCAGATGCACTATAGCGGGATACAAGTTGTCTGAGGATGGCAAAACTTGTAAACGTAAGTTGCCCAAACTGTTATTTGAAATATGTTCACTGGAAGATCTTTTATATCATTATATTTATTAGTTTCATTCTTAAAATAAATAAGCACACCTAATTTTATGCTATACGGAAAATGTATATTATATTTGACAAACGGATAAAGCATTATTAGTGGCAATGTTTAAAATCAGTGCTTAGAAATAAAAATATGTGATATATTAGCCGATAATAAACCTGCTAACATTACACTATAAATGCTAATATAAAAAAGATCAGATGAAGACCTTCAGTAATCCCTTAAACTACAATAGGTATTACATTTTTTCCTAAATTTTCATATGCTTAACTTAAAAAAGTATTAATTTTCTTTTATAATTTAGCTGCTAAACAATGTACTAATCTGACGGAGACCGACGCCCCAGCTTTCGGTGGTCTCGTATGCCACTGGTACGTGGAGGAGAACTCTCAGCAGTGTCAAGTCAAATGCAACCCGGGTTATGAATATCCAACAAGGACTAATCTATACGAAACGTGTGGTCCAGCCACTGGATTTATCTGGTCATTTCAGAGGTCAGACCCAAATGCTACTATTGACCCTTGCGTTGGTACGTATATTTTGGTCCAAGGAGTCAAGGACTGTGTCAAAATTTGAATAAGAAAAGATGTTATTACCGTTATAATCAGTCTTTCTTTCCTTTAAGCTGGAAATAATTTTTAACAGAACGCCAAGTATACGTAGGCAGTGTTTTTTGTTAACCAGATGATCAGCTCCAAAGATGATCAACATTCTAAACGTAGTTGCGCCCCACCCCTTCTTCTTTATTCTTTAATATTTACGTACACATTTGGTTTTGTAGTATCTACACTAATGAACATACACACATCTTAATAATCATCCTTCTCATTTGGCTTTAATGATGAAAGTTACATATTTTCTAATTCCAGTGGAATTTTTTCCCGATTTTCGCCTTGAAGCGGACTCAGCTTACTTTGTCAGGGCTTGCCGTGATTTAACCGAAGATGACAAAAAAGAAGTGCGTTTAATGTTCGCAGAAACGTTAAACAACGACACAATCTGCTACAAAAGAAACACTAAACTATGTGACGTAAAAAACATAGACATAATTTGTGGAGAAAGTCAAATACGAAGACGACGTGACGCGAGTGGACAAACGAGGGAAGACGTTATTGACTCGGTTCATATTGCATTCGACGTTTTTGCGGAAAAGCCCGAGAAAGAAATCAAAAACTGTCGCCAAATTTGCTCCAGCCTAAACATTCCCGATCGTTACTGTAAGAATCAAGCTACGTGTGAACGTATATACAAGCGTTTTCTCAAAGCTGCCATGATATACGCTAAGGGAAAGTTGGAGAAATTGTTCGAAGAGGATAGACATAAAGCAGTCTTTCATGCTGCAAGTCGACGTTTTGAATCAGCTGGTGGCAATGTGTCGGATGTAATGGTGGACTGCGGGGCGGGAATGGAATCTGTGGGCAGCAGAGGTGTATGCTGTATGTATTAATTATCATAACGCTTTTGTAGTTTATAGAACAAGGTTTTGTAAAAAATGAAGTTTAAATCTGTTGCAACGAAGTAAAGAAGAAAAATTAACTGAAGGGTGATATTATTTTTAATTAACATATAATTTCAGTGCCATGTTTACCAGGCACTTACTATTCCAAGGCTGATGGCGGGTGCAGGCCGTGTCCCCCTGGGACATCACAGTCCCTCCTTCAGCAGACCAGTTGCCAGCCTTGTCCTCCGGGGATGACCACACAACGCCAGGGAGCAAAATACTGTGAAGGTACATTCATTAACATGTCTGAGGGTGGGAAATTGGATTCACATTATGGTACATAATTCCAGTTAAACCGACTGCATCCATATGTACCTTGCTTCAACAAATTCTGTTGTCCGAATTCGTTGCTCGTTTAATGATTGCCATTGTTACAACAAATCATTTCACTTCGTCCGTTCCTTCTTTTACTGTTATATAAAAATTATTTTGAAACAAACGGAGTAGATTGGAGTACGGTGACCAAAACGAAGGAGAGATGCTTGAAAAAGGTGAATTCACGCCGATTGATAAGTTGCCATACCATAATCAATACTAAATAATTTTGAACTCCAATACGAAATCTAAACGATGTATTACGTTTCATTTAATAATTTAAGGATAATCATTTTTCATTTAATTTCAACAATAACCATCACATTTTCATGCTAGTCTGCCCGCCGGGACAATATGGCGACATGTGCCAGGGAGTATGCCAGTGTGTCCACGGCACGTGTGATCGTGTTACTGGTCAGTGCATGTGCTCTAGTGGCTGGGAAGGAGATCTGTGTGACAGAGGTGAGGTTATCCAAAGTTATCTTTTGTGGGTTAACGTCATATTCGTGTGATAAATTTGGTTACTAATCTTGAAAACCTTTTTTTGTTAAATGTGGCTCTCAACGTATGCCAACGCTTTATCGAGTTAAATTATGTCAGTCCAAAACGTACAGGTCTTTTAACAGACCCATACCACCAATAAACATACATTTTCCCATTTAAAGGGATAACAACTCTTCGTATGACACTCATATTTCACAATAAATATATTGTAAACAAATCATAGAAACAATAATTTCTCTTATACTACCAAAACGGCGGGTTATCGCAATAATTCTGGTTTCTGTGCTTGACACCGGGCCGCGTGACCTCCATAGATGACTATACTCTGTGATAATCTCTTAAAAGTTTATTAAAAAACAAACTTAAAAAAGCATGGACTAACTGTGAATTTCGGAACTGTTTCATTACCACTGGTATGGGAAAACTGTCGATTACCCCAGGAAAAAATCCATTTGTTTGGCCAATAAGATCAGTTGTTATCATTTTAATTCTATGATTGACTCAGATAATTACCAGCTGAATGAAACCATACCAGGGGTATGACAGAAACCGCAACTAATGTGCCAGAAATGAGAGTCAAAACATTTAGAAATATTACATAACGTACAGTGGTAAATATCCTTTTATTATTTTTCGGATCAACGACACTTTGAAAAAAAGCCAGATAATATTACTGCATGTTTAGGATTTACATCCCAATTATTGCTTCCTCAATAGGACGAGTTTTCTTTGTGATAAAAGATTAACTGGATTCGCGTGTTCTCGTTTCAGACATCCCAGGTTGTCGTGAGGGGCACTGCTTCCAAAAAAGCACTTGTGTGGATGTTCTCGCACCGGGGACAGGGTTTCGCTGTGTAACACAGTAACGGTCACAGGCCATGTAAGGCACGACATCCAGTACCCAGACAGGCCCCAATCCACAGAAGTGCCTCTGGATTATCTAAGAGGCTTTTGTAGCCTCGACCATGATTTTTTACGTTCTGTATGGATATAGACACAACTGCATATGGCAAAAAACAAAAACGTTTGACTCCAAGATTCTTTATTCCAGGGGCAATGTATTGCAGAAATATTCAGTAAGAATTCATTTAATTTTAATGGATAGCTTTTGAGAAAATAAAATTTCAACTTTGACATTTTTGTCCGGTAAGATTATTTTTTCATTTCGTATCATAAAAAATATCATGAAAAAAAATAATACCGTGATGACAGTATGTAACATAAAAATTCATTTTTTGTCATTGGACTCACATACCGCTCGTAGTTATACAAGAAAAAAAAAGGAATTGGTCATTCAAACGAGGCACATGAATAACTAGCATTTACACAGAGGCAGTGAAAATCTGGATACTATGCATGAGATTTGACTCTAGAAGTCCGACTATAACTGTGGCTCTTTCAACGTTTATATTTAGGCTTATTATTGAGATGAAACTTAGGCCGTGATACGTGCGTAATATACTGTGTTGACAAAGCTTAAATAAAGAGCGGCACGCCCATTCTTAGCGGTGAAAGTGACTACATGAAACAGACTTACAGCAGACATTATATAAAAATAATTGCGTATAATGAAGGCCTACGTAAATCCCGTTACTTTTTTCATTTCTACTCAATTTCTTTTTTTCCAGAATATCCCTTCCAAAGATCATTGTTGATCCCCTCGACTGTTAAGTGTTATAATTTATAAAATACAACATCCAAACCCTGTAGGTGAAGAGGTAGGTGATCGTAGTTTTTTAAATCTCCACGCTTAGTCAAGACACCGTACTCTCTATAGCCCTTTGGGATAAGAAAATGTCGCAGACTATCAAGTTTTTTCTGTGTTTCTTCAAGTGACAGGTGAACTCCGTCTGAGAGGCGATATTCAATGGTGAAAACTTTAACATTTATTTTATCAAAGGGAATAGTCCGCAAAACCGGGAGTTCTGCTCCTTCAACATCAAGTGAAAAATAATCTATATCAGTAATCCCGAGTGTAAGCATAATGGAATAGAAAGGAAAGCACTGTACTTCAATGGTGGGCGCATTTTTTCGTGCCCCGCCCCGATATCTCAGTTGAACTCCGCTCATGTGTTCGGCCAGACCACCGATTCCTTCAATATCCATTGAATTTTTAAAAAACGCTTTTTCGGCTTTATTGTTGGTGCTGAGGCAAGCATTTATACGATGAGTATTTGGTCTGTTCTTGCATAATTGTTTATAGAAATGTGGTACAGCTTCAATTAGCAAGCCCGTCCAGTTTTTCTCTTTTTCTAAATAATACGTGTTTGATGATGTCAGTCCGTTGTATCCCCCGCACTCAACAAAGAAACCATTCGTTTTTCCTCCTAGAATTGTATTAACGACTTGTGCTTGACCGACCTCCGAGTAGTCAATCACTGTGGTATCTATGGTAGAAGTATGGTTTGAAGAGGCTCTTACCAACCAGTTATTTTCAATATCTTGTATCAGCACTATATTTCTCATATACCTCATTGTAAAATCATCGATGTAATTGCTCTCGTCTCGATAGTCGAAGAAAGAATGTCCCCTTGGCAAAACATGTATGAAGAGGACCACCGCCATTAAAAAAGATCCAAACAAAAACTTGCCAGGACGAAAACGCTTTTGTCGTTTAGCCACTTTCTCAAACTTCATCACTGAGGTTTTGTTGACACATTTCTGTCCGCTATATCTCCTCCTTGTCTTACCCTCCCTAGTCTTACCACACCAAAAACAACTTTTCCTTCAAAGTATATAATACTTCATAGCGTATTGGCGTTTGGTAGCTTCCGATGATTAAGCACACGAACGTCCCAGAGATGTCAGCTTTTTGTATTTAACTATCAGTTCCAGTACCAGTACGAGAGTATGTCAGCGTGTGTAAATATGAAAGAATTTGGGCAGGTAGGCGCAGAAGTGGGTTCAAGGGGTGGGATATACATTGCTCGGGTATATAATGCGTAACCGCTGTCTGCACATAAAGCAGTGAGACAAAATGTTCAATGTTAAAAACAAACTTCTAGTCTTTACAAAATTTCCATTCATGCAGAGTTTTAGCTCCATGTTTTAATCAACCAAATGCTGTCATTTTAAACTTCAAAGCACCTCTGATCTAAACATGACTTCAAATGAATCTCTTTAAAACTGTCATAATTAAGATTTCAGTTTCTGGGAAAAATTCTAATATCTCTTGCAAAAAATGAAACATTTAATTGCATTGCAAACTACAGCACATTTTGCATAGAACATGAACAGGTGAACTTGTCACAGGAGGATCAATTTACAAAATACTCATTATCAAGATTTGCAGTAAAATAAGATCATTTTTTTCCCATTCTACTTTAATAAAGTTTCTTTCTTATTCTGACTGGTATCAGTTCCGGTGTGATATCTTTTTACTTGTTCACTACAGGAACTGTTTTACAAAAGGTTTGTCCACAAAACTGACAGGTGTGTTTCACATCAGGATGGACTTTACTCATGTGATACTGACATATATATGCGTAACTGAAAGTCAAATCACAGTGCTGGCATTTGTAGGGTTTCTCTCCTCTGTGCGATGCTTCATGGTCGTCCAGATAAGCCTTCCACATAAAGCTTTTCTTGCAGAACTGACACTGGAAGGGTTTTACGCCATTATGAGCATCCTCATGTATTCGGTGCTGTTGCTTTTTCGAAAACTGTCTTTCACAATACTGGCATTTATATCTCTTTTCCTTTCTGTGAGTAAATTCATGCTCAACACATCTTGCTTTTGATATAAAGGCTTTATCACAGAATTGACATTTGAAAGGTTTCTCACCAGTGTGAGTCCTGATATGAACTTTTAAATGACATTTTATAATATATGCCTTTTCACAGTGCGGACATTTGTGTGGTTTATCACCAGTATGTATTTTTTCATGTAGATATCTTCCTAACTTAGAAGCAAATACACTGTCACAGTACTGACACTTGAATGGTTTTTTTCCTGTGTGTGTATTTTCATGCTGCTCCATAACACTTTTAGAATAAAATGTTCTATCACAATACTGACATTTAAATGGCCGTTCTGCCCTGTATGTCTCTTTTCATGGAGTAACCAAGTGCACTTTCTCTTAAACCCTTTGTCACAGTACTGACATTTAAACTGATTAAGTTTGTTTGTGTGAACAAAAAGTTCATGAGATTTAACAGTTGACTTTGAACGAAATTTTTTATCACAATACTGACACTTATGTGGCTTCTCTCCAGTATGAATTGATTCATGTTCTTTTATATGGCGTAGCCTTACACAGATTTTATCACAGTACTGACATTTGTAAGTCTTCCTGTATCTGTGCACTTTCTCATGATCCAAGCGGCGCTTCATATCAACAAATGTTTTATCGCAGCGTTGGCATTTCAATGAAGGCTGATCACATTCAGCATCCGCACCACAACCATTGACAGTGAATTTTTTGTGATGTGACCCTGAATTTGTCTCCACATCCTGACTGTGTTCCCCATCTGAATAGACTGGAGAATGGTCCACATTTGGCTGAGGCTCATTTATCACTTGCATTTTAGCTGAAGATCTGTGTAGATTTATAATCTTTATTTTCACACTTAAGAATTCCTTCATCAGACCTAAACACCTACCACAAGAAATACTGCAATCATCTTGAGGGAGAGTTATTTTCAAAAGTTCTTGAATTTCTTTTCTGATTTGTGGCCAAGAGGCAAGTTCGGTATACTGCATCATGTGCATGCTACCACAAATTATACAACACATTGTTCCCTGTATTGTAACCCACGATGACTTACCGGTAACAAGCTCTATAACATGGTCAGTATGATTAAGTTTACTTGCATCTGGTATCTGTGGTGATATCTGACGCAGTATCTCTCCTGTGGTACTGGTATCCATTTGGATTGTTGCGGTCGTTGGTTTAGCAGTTGTGCTCGATACAAAAAAGTTCGTACATGTAGCCTTTCTTCAGCTAAGCCTGCTTGTTCAGTCCCAGCAAAACCAGAATTTACTATTCGAATCTTTCTCTTAATTGAATGTGCGCATGCAATGTATAATGAGTGACTCTCTTTGTAATTTAGTTACGAACAGCAGTAAAAGCGTCAGGTTCAACACTTGCATTTCCGTCAATGTTCTTCTTGAATAGGAGGAAGAAATGTTTAAGGAATTAAAATTTTCACATTACTATATTGAAATTTGCATAAAATATCAAAGTTATTATCACTAAGATATTTCACGATGCATACTAGAGTAAATGATACCTTTTTATATAATAAAGGCAACATAATACGTTTCCAAAACTTCAGTACCAGCTGCATATAATCGTGCAGCTTGGCTATCTTGCAGGTTAATTGTGAAAGCGTCGTTTCAAAATAAATGTAATTCTGAGTTTTTGAGCTGAAAAAAAAACGTTTAAACTATTATTATTGAGTTTAAAGAATTCAAGTGCGTCATGGAAAATTCCGGATATAAAGAACAGAGCACGGTAGTTGTTTGGGAATGGGGAATCAATATTGCCATTTTTTCCCTTGCAATATGTGTACATGCATTATTCATAACAATGAAGAAACAATTGAGTTTTATATTACAAACTGTATTAAATTTCTTTCAAATTGTATCAATTTATCAAATATTAATTTTTTTAGTTTAAGAAAAAAATTGATTAAAGGGATAACAAGTTCATTCTTGTCCCCAAGTAGTTTAAAAGGAATTTCCTAAATTGGATTTTTTCCCCAATTCCTTATATACATTGTACACCCATTTTCTTTTCAATTATTTAACAACTAAGATTTTTTTCTAATACAATTTATTTAAGTTTAGAACTTGAACTGAATTCAAAACCACTGAAAAGGTTCCGATCACCAAACTAAACATTGAAACCTGGCCACAAACACACTAGTGCCTGCAAAATGACAGCAACACGTACATGTAGTACCCAAATATGTACATGTAACCTGTTCCAACACTGCCAGAATAACTTCAACTGATGGCATTCTTCAAGAAATTACATTTGTTCAACATTATTGCTCTTGAAACATGATGGTATGCTGTAACTGTTAATCCCACCTTATACGTACACCCAATATTCACTTGCTTATTTAAATGTTTCTATACTAGTAAACTGTCATATTAATTCCAACTTCTGCATTCAATTACATCTGACAATGGTTTACAAATCTCAAATTAAACTAACATTTTCATCTCATGTAAGCTTTTAGATAACAGTAATTCTAAAAAAGCCAATATATAAGCTTTGTGAAATACCCAAGCATAATATCTTACCACCATTACTAAAATGATAATAATAATAATAAGCTATACATTTGATCAGTTTAGACACAAAATCACAGAAAAATGCAAGTGTTGTACAGTAATTAACATTTTAACAAACACAAACATTCATAATACAAATACATACCAAATTGCACTTCACCATTTCACCTATAACTACCACCATATTTTCAAGAACATCTGCAACCTAATGTTGTTAAAAAATTGGGCTCTTTCACACTGAGTGGCGTACTTTGACAATACAGTCTGTGTTGACAGGACCTGGCTTTTACCTAAATAGACATACTGTACTCAACAAGGCCAATAAACTTACTGAACAGCAGGACTTGTAAAACCCCCTGTACTTGAAAACACCCCTGTAAGGCAATTACTGATTACTTACTAACATATTACTCTCAAAGAACTATCAGTACAGACAAGTATACTCCTCAATGTGCAAAAGGCCTTAGAAACTTCATTTGGAAGGTGCAGTCATGATAGCACAATTGTTACTTAGATCAGGGAATTATATCGGATCTAAGTAACAGCTCTCTATTGACAAGGACCAATGATACTGCTTGAAATTATCACACGCCCCTCCCATATCCATTCCCTTCGATATAATTCCCTGCTTAGAATGTCTCTGATATAATTATAGGAAATAATATGATAAAGTTTTGTAGAATTCTTGTAGCTATAATTGCTATCAAACTGTCTAGATTGATAAATCACACCATGAGACGTAAGTATGAAGAAGGGCAGATTTATGTTTAAAAAAATCTCCCATAAGCTGCCCCTTAAGCAAGGACTAGATGAGATGTGCTAGTTTACTTCCACCATTTGAGTGTACAACCAAGTTCTAAAATCCATTACATTCACAGCAACTTACCAAATACAATCTATGGTTCCATACTTATAAGTGAAAAAAAATCATTTTTGCTACATTTCTAGAGAATTCAGAAAAATATGAATGATACATCAAAAGTACTGCAAAACATTGTTTAATGCACTTTATAATTTTATCCATGTGCACTACGTGAATATATGACTTTATTCTACCATTTTTATAGATATGTACCAGGTAATTGTTGAGTGCCTTGTAAGTAACTACACATTCAAATAGAATTGCAGATTAGATGCTGCAGATACAAGCTCAACATACAAATAAAACAATTTACTTTTACTTAATCAATTTTCAAATACAATTTAAGAGTTACATAAAATATTCATCATAGATCTGTTTGCTTTTTTATTAATGGCAAATGCACTTTTTTGTATTTAAATAATCAAACTTGCATCATGCTAGGGCACATAAGTTTTGAACAATGAATAACTTTCAATCAAATCAATAATAAAACATGTTCAGATACTCTTCCCATGTAGGTTTTTTTGTCAGATTAAAAAACTTTGCTCAATTATCATTCAGCATGCTTATGACATCCTTGCGAACAGTATCTACAATTAAAAACAATTACAAATTACATTATCTGCACAGATTCTATGGCAATGCCAAGAAAATATATCATTGGCCAAGTTCCCATGTGCTCAAATTTCCATCAAGGAAGAGAAGACAGTTTGTTGGTTGAGGAACTGGAGAATGTTCTTGTTTTGTTAACCCACTGTCTCCATTGTCTGTTAAGGAGTCCTTGAAATCACAAAAATAATTAACAATTATATAAAACATTGGCAGTAGGTCCATGATTCCACACTGTACAACTATCGATACTTATCCATCACAAAAAAAGCATTTCTGAGATATAATATAAAAAAATTTTCTTCAATTAGAAAACATGAAATTTATTTCCCATTAAATATATTTCTGGTGTTAGAACAATTTTCAAGAATCATATAATGATAGAGAATATGCATTTTACCTGGTATTCATTGATAAAAGACAGTAACTGGAGGCTCAGTTTTCTGCTGGAATGCAACAACTGGGTTAAACTGAAAAAAAAAAAGATAAAAAAAAGACTAGAGAGCCCATGTTATGATGCATCCAAAGAAAAATTTCAAAATCTTCTAGAACTACATTTGAAGATACTATTCTGAATATTCATAATTGTTTTTATTTTGCAATAAGCATATTTTCCCTGGTCAAAACCGTAGTTTTCCATTGTACATCTATAATCATAAACTACAAACAACAAAAACTTTAAAAGTACTTACTTATTCTGATCACATATTGCATGTTCTATTATTCNAAAAAAAAAAAAAAAAGATAAAAAAAAGACTAGAGAGCCCATGTTATGATGCATCCAAAGAAAAATTTCAAAATCTTCTAGAACTACATTTGAAGATACTATTCTGAATATTCATAATTGTTTTTATTTTGCAATAAGCATATTTTCCCTGGTCAAAACCGTAGTTTTCCATTGTACATCAATAATCATAAACTACAAACAACAAAAACTTTAAAAGTACTTACTTATTCGGATCACATATTGCATGTTCTATTATTCTAGCGCAGACATCTTTATTCACTTGTGAGTCAAACAATGGCAGTCCAAAGCAACAATCCAATATCATCCAATCATTTTCATCACCAAAATGCTCTGCAGTATTAGAACCATCTAAAGTAGCATTCAAATCCAATGTAAGCTGTTCTTCTTTCCTCGTATCACTACTTTCATTTCCTAGAGAATCTAATTCAAAAGCCAATGTGTCTGCTGCTGAAGAATCTTTGATTCCATTTTCTGGACCATCCTGTTCAACATGTTGTGCCTTTGTCTTTAAATCAGCACCAGTTTTTTCTGGTTTGCCAGTTTTCAAGAGTGTGACGTATCCACAAGAGTGTGACAAGTCTATTTTGGAAGCAAGTTCTTGGACAGCAAAGTGAGCCTCTACATTCTCCTTACTGAACAGCCCTGTATTTAGAATTGAACAAGATCATGCATTGTCCCTTTGAAAGACTGTTTGCAACAATGCTGACAAACCTCAAATGTAAATTTAAACAGACTGCAAAAAGGCATTAATTTTCAATGTTATTTACCACTAAAATCAAACTGTAAGAGGCTGTTCACCCTACCTCTTTTACCCTCCTTTTCCAATGGGAAAGGCACATGTACAGTCATTCCTTCATCCAGCCATCCATGTGCCTGAAACAAGTGTCACACATCTATTTAGAAGGCACTGAGAAATTGTTCAATAAAAACATACCATTTAAATGAAATAAAAATCCATATTTCCTGAACTGCAATTACAAAAGAAGTCAACTGTACAGGGTACTTGAAGCACTCATGCAAAATTTGTTTATATCTAATAATGTATTCAAAATACCATAAATAATAATAACAATAACTGTAACTATGACCTATGGTCAACAAGAATATACTGACCTGTATCAGTACAGCAGAGTGTGTCAAGGCATCGTTTAGTGTCAACAGCAAGTTAGAGGTGGCAAGCACCCCTGGATCATGTCCCCATGTGGTCACCAGCAGGCGGTCGTATTCCTAGATATAATATTGCTGTCATGTTTATAAAACTAATATACAGTATTGGTTTGAGGTATTGGTAAAGGTGCGAAAATTTCAATAACAAAGACTTTTCAATGTGTCATGTATAGATCTAAATTGATGTGCCATTGGGGTACAAATTCAGTTAATTATCAAAAATGTTCCTACCACATTGGGTTCACCACCTTAAATGAATTTATCTTTTAACTAGAGGATCAGAGAGGCGATACCGCCTCCGAATATTGTACCACCAGCTGGAGCAAGCGCATTCGTATAGACCCCCACATACACAAAATAAGGGACACAGCCACCAGTCTTATGCTTGAATCATTATGCAATCAACAAGAATTTTCAAAATACGCAAAAATATATATATAACTTAAAATGGTACAATCAAAGTTAAGTTCATCGTAAGGTAGGTCAAAGGTCAATTTCAAGGTCACAGTAAATTGCCAGTATATGACTTCCTATTCAACTTAATAGTAACTATGGACCTATCTCTGCCAGGTTTGGAGTTAAAAGAGAAAGAAATTAGCAGAGTTCAGTTCATGATTATAAGTAGGTCAAAGGTCAATTTCAAGGTCACACTTAGATTGCCAGTATATGACTTCCTATTCAAGTTCAATAGTAACTATGGACCTATCTCGCTAGNAATGGCTGAACTATGACCTATGGTCAACAAGAATATACTGACCTGTATCAGTACAGCAGAGTGTGTCAAGGCATCGTTTAGTGTCAACAGCAAGTTAGAGGTGGCAAGCACCCCTGGATCATGTCCCCATGTGGTCACCAGCAGGCGGTCGTATTCCTAGATATAATATTGCTGTCATGTTTATAAAACTAATATACAGTATTGGTTTGAGGTATTGGTAAAGGTGCGAAAATTTCAATAACAAAGACTTTTCAATGTGTCATGTATAGATCTAAATTGATGTGCCATTGGGGTACAAATTCAGTTAATTATCAAAAATGTTCCTACCACATTGGGTTCACCACCTAAAATGAATTTATGTTTTAATAAGCATTAAATTGTAATATTTAAGGTATACTGCACATGTCTAAAAATATCACAAAGTCACAGAGGCTACTGGTACTAAAGAGCAATCTTGTTATCCTGGTATGGTCAGTCTATTCTGGGTTTGTTCATCCAAAAGGTTAAACATTCTGGGTAACCAGATTATATGTAGGACACAGCCTTGGTAAAATGGTGTTTGTGCCAATAAAGTACAATTATCCCATTTTTATAACAAGGCAGCAAAGCTGACAAATGTACAGACAAAAAGCAGGAAATAACTATGCACAAAATAGGCTAATGTCAATTCTGATGCAAAAGTACATTATGTTAAACTGCAAATTTAACATCAAAGTTTAATTATGCTCAACAGGTAATACCAATGTAAGTAAAATGTGTAACAAGCATAAGGCCTCAGGCCCATGGGAGTTCAAGTTCACTCTTTGAACATGCATAACTTCCAGAAAAAGAAGCCAATTAGACTGCTTTTCCAACTCAGGCTGCATGCCGATTTCGAACTTGACTTGCGTTTTAGTAAGATCAATTACTCCTGTGAGTTTCATGACAACAAGCCTATCGGTTTTTCTTGAAATGTGTTTACAGTGTTGCATATATGTTGAAAAGTGAAAAAAAAA